ACACATACAATAGCTGAGCCCCCCCCCCTTTGCCCCCAACCTGGGTGATCACCTGTTCCCTTAAATCTACTCACCTCTGGACTAAATGACCCAAGCCCAGCACCGTTTCTTCTACCAGAGTCCAAGATGAGGGGGCTGAAGTGTGTGCCTCAACATGGACAATAGTCCTCGTGGGGCTTGTTCAGAACCTACCTGCGCTTCCCTGTACTTTCTTTTTTTAAGATTTATTTTTATTTATTTATGCATACAAGAACTGGGGTACAGGCCAGAGGTGTGGAGGGTGAGAGGATTCACCAGAGACAGTGGGGAGCAGAGCAGGAAGATCTACTGAAATACACTGCTAAGGGGAGCAGCCAGCGAGACAGGAAAGATCTAGCTCCGCAGCCAGGGATCGAACCCGTGCTGCAGGGCTGCCCACAGCCCCACAATGCTGAGACCCAACCCCTTGCACCACCAGGGAGGCCCCCTTCCCTGTACTTTCTATGGATGTTTGGGTTAGTAACACCTGCCTTAGCTGTGTGGAGGGAGAGGTAGGAACCCAGGAACCACTTCTCCAGGCCCTTCCTGCCCATAGGTCCTTTCCCTGTCTCCTCCTATTGCTTGCCCTGATTGAGAGAGTAGTTTCTGAAAACTACTCTCTTCTGGTCTCTTTTGTTCCTCTCCTGACCTGACCCTGATCCAAGAGCTTGCTTGCAGCCAAAAGAAGGGAGAGACCTCCTGGGCAGGTGGCGAACTCTGTGTCATCAGAGGTTTCCAAGCAGAAACTGGATGACTGCTTGTTGAGGGTGGTCTGCCTTTGACTGTAAATCTGGGTTTCTAGGGCTGAAATGGAGTGACCTTGACCTTGCCTCCTAGCCACAGTGGAGCTGCGCAGAACTTGAAGTTAGACCACAAATGAGTGTTATTAAACCCTCGTAAAAACAGACTAAGTATATGTGCTATTAGTCGAGCATAGCTCCAACGCACAGGCTTAAGTGCTACCTGAGTCTCCTGTCATACGTACCTATGTATAATCTGAGACCCGTTTGCTTGCTCAGGTAGGCAAACCAATTTGGCCTGACTTAGGGGCATGGCAGATTCTGGTTATCAAAAAGCCATCCTATGCTAATAATTAAAAATTGCACCATGGAATGATGGAATGTCCAAACTAAAAGGGATCTTAAGAAATGTCATCCAACCCCCTCATTTTACAGATCCTCTATCTACAGAAGAGGTGGAACTCTTACAGCAAACCAGTAACCAAGCCCAAGGATCCTAATTCTAAGACCAGAGTTTAGTTTGTTTAAAAGCACATGCTATAAGTTAATGAAAGCAGTCTGTATTTATTCCAGTAAAATTAGCAAAAATAAATATCAGAGGATAAAACTCTATGCTGGCAAGTCTGTATGGATTCTCCAGTGGCATTTAATTGTGCGCAACAATCTGCAACCTGTAACAAAAGTCCCTGAAAATGATCATAACTGCTCTTTGCCCCCTAGCTTCTAGTTTCAGAACTTTACCCTAAGGAAGTAATTAGAGAAAGACAAGTATAGTACTGTTAACTATCAAAAGTTGTCTTATAGTCAGGAAGCTCCTGATATTTTATCCAAGGCTTAGTAAACATTACCTTTGAAAAGCACAACTTAAGTTTACCTCGAGGGAGTCTGACCAGCATCAGGAAGTGTGTGGTCCAGAGAAAAGGCTGCAGGACCGAAGTCAGCAAACAGATTCCAGATGGAATCTTCCTCTGCTCCATTCTGTGACCATGGGTTAATCTCTTTCTCTTTCTGGATCTTGCTTTCTGGTTAGATTCAATAATTGCTGATTTTCTTTCAGCTCTGACAACCCATTTTCTTGACTTTGCACATCTCCATAATGGAAGCCTTTACTAGATGTGGCAATCACCAAAGAAAGTTCTGCCTCCCTCCCCCACCATTAATCCCCTTGGAGGCCCAAGCTAGCCTTTGTCCCCAGCTAGGCTTTTTCAGTTCCCAAATGGCCAGGACCTGGATGATTTTATAGAGCGTAGCATGTTTTTGTTTTTGTCTTCTTTACAAATTCTCAGCGCACAGAGATTTTTCAGGAACAGGAAGAAATTCAGCGGGGTTCTCTATTTTATTACTGTAAGTCCTATAGGCTATGCCTTGCCTCCTTTACAAAAGATTGGAGGTACTTTTCAGTCACACCTAGTCTGAAGGGCCAGAAGTAGGTGACTTCACTTCTATAGACAAACATGTATTGGGCACCTACTGTGAACTAGGCCCTGAGAGCCTGCAGGCTGCCATGGGAAACGTTAGATTAAACCATGTGCAATGGCCAATACCTACCTTTTTTTTTTTTAAGATTTATTTATTTATACAAGCACTAGGTACAGTCAGAAGTGCGGGACAGTGAGAGAATTCACCAGAGTCAGAGCAGAGAGCAGAGCAGGCAGACTGTTGAAGTACACTACTGAGGGGAGCAGCGGGCGCAGCAGGAGAGGTCTGCGCGCCATGTGGGACCCTCGCCTGGCGGCTCAGGATCGAACTGGTGCTGCAGAGGCTGCGGGCATCTTCACAACCCAGCGTTCAACTGCTGCGCCACCGGGGAGGCCCAATGCCTACCATTTTTAATTTATTAAAAAAGTGGCAATTCAACCTAAATAGAAAAATATATAATTAAGAAGCAGTGTGCTCTTTATCATAATTGAGAGTTTGGCATAGTGCTGTATAGAAAAGGTCTAGAAAGTGTGATTGTAAGCTTGGAGATGTCAAGGAGAAAGGACATAGGAGACTCAATTTGAATAATCAGTAATAATAGTGGCCAAGATCTGCTGAGTTCTTACCTACTGGCCTGATTCTGTCCCAGGTGCTTTATATTCATCCTTTAGTGATTCAATCATTTATTAACCACCTGCGTTGTGCTAGGTATTTCCTAGGTGCTAGGGGTGGCAGTGGGGTCTTGACGGTAAGCAAAACAGACCAAAAAAATCTGCCCTAGCAGAGCTTACAGTCTCATGAAAAAAAGACTAAACAATGAGCAAAATATAGGTGATGATAAATGAGTTGAAGTAAGTATAATGTTGGAAACTGTTTCAGATGTGTGAGAGGGAATAAGGGTGGCGAGGTTGCAGCTTTAAATACGGTGGTTAGTGAGGGTCATTGAGAAGATGACTTTGGGGCAAAGCTTGAAGAAGGTGAGGGAGTGAGCTGCACTGACTTCTGGGGGAAGAGCCATCCAGGTACAGGAAACAGCCAGTGCAAAGTCCCTGAGATAGGACCAGGGCCAGCATTTCAAGGAAGAGCAGGCTAGAGCAGAGTGACTGGGAAGAGGGGGTGAGGTGGGAGGCCACAGGTCAGACTGCGTACCCCAACCTGGACAACATGCAATCTGACAAGTTTGTGAGGGAGGTACTCACCTTTTTGACTGAAAAAGAAAACACACAAAAGTACAGAAAGGTTAAATGACTTGCTGAAACCATCTCAACATAGCAGCAAGGGCTTTTAGTTGAAGGGCAGTGGGGAGTCCGGGAGGACTTTAAAACAAGGCAGGGGCATAGCCCCATCTGCTAGTGCCACTGCTCCAGGATACAGACACAAGGCTATAAAATAGTCCAGGCCTCGGGTGGTGAGGTTGGACAGGGCAGTGAACCAAATTGGCAGAGCTTAGTGCTGGCGGCGGGGTAGGGGTGCCAGCTCGGGTAAACAAGGAAGAGAAGGAAGCCAGGATGGCCTAGGGCTTTTTTATTTAACAAACACTTACTAGTAGTTCTTTTTTTTTTTTTTTTTGTGGGACCCTCGCCGGTGGCCGGGGATCGAACTGGCGCTGCAGTGGCTGCGGGCAGCCTCGCAACCCAGTGCTCAACCACTGCGCCACCGGGGAAGGCCCGACAAACACTTACTAGTAGTTCTTATGCTGCACATACTCTATAAGATTTAAATATGTTAATCCATTCAATCCTCAAAGCAATCTATAGGATAGATACTATTACTTATTATCTCCACTTTTTACAGTGGGTGTATTACATATAATTATATATATTATGTAATATATACTATGTCATTATATATAATACATATATGTAAATAATATCTCAATAAAGTTGATTATAAATAAAGTGTGTTTTTTCTATTATAAGTACTTGATAATGGAGAATGAGAAAACAAAATAAATTACCCATATCTTCTTTTTTCATCCCAGCTAATATAAAAATTTTGATGTATTTGTTTTCAGTCTTTTTTCTGTTATTATCCCCATTTTACAGATGAGAGTACTGAGGCCCAGAGAGGTTAGGTGGCTTGCTCACAGTCATGCATTTGAACCCATGTTACCTGGATCCCAGTGTCCAGTGTCTGTCTTAATCACTGTGCTTGCTGCTTGTGGGCAAACCCTGGAATATCAGAGTTGATGGGGTCTGTTGAGATCACCCCCTACCTCTGAACCTCAGCTCTACTTATTGCACCTGTGACATCAGGTAGGGAAGGAAAGGCCGGGTGAAAGGCAGGCCTTTGCTCAGTATCTCTCAATTAGTTGGGACAGATACATAAGATGGCATTCAAATAAGAAGAAATGAGCGAGTTGAGAACTTGTGCAGGGTTGATGTGACAGCTGCTTCCACCCTGGCCTTGAGCCCGGAGCTTGCATGGGGCTGGCAAATGGCATGACCCTGCCCACAGGGAGTGCTGGGACTGCCAGGGCAAACCTGTGTTCTCTGGCCCCAAGAGTCTCATCCCTTCATCTGGCCCTGGGTGGGAGGTGGCCAGGTGAAGGGGTGGGAGAATTTGGGGCTTTGCCAAGCCTGCTGGCCTCCTGAGAGTTATCTCTTGGACTCTAACTGTGCATTTATTTCTGTCTCTGGTGCCAGCAAACTCCTGTGGCTACCTACTGCCAGGGATGCAGCCGTGGCTTCCAGCCCAACTTAAACACTGGGTGAGCCTTGAGTCAGGGTCTTTCCTTCCCCACCTGCAAAATGGCATCATAATGGTGCCAGCTGCAGGATGAAGTGAGTGAGGCTGGAAAGTGCTGGCACAGGGCGTGGCACAGGGAGGTATTCAGTGGACAGCCACCTACTGTGTCTGTTCCCACGACTGCTCCAGGGTGCTGGCCCAGGCTGGAGGGTTGAGCCAGAGCCCCCTCCGTCACCCTCCTCTGTATACCTGGCGGACCAGGTAGGGCCCAGCCAGTGCAAGAGGAGACAGAAATGAGCCTCGGGCCGTGCCTGGAAGTCCAAGATTGCAGACAAGGGACACAGTGGACGGAAAGAAGCCACTCCTCTGAAGAGCAAGATCTGACCTGGCCACTGAGGAGCTCTGTAGGCAAGTCCTGTCCCTTGACCTCTTCTGCAAAGCGGGGAGAATATTCCCTGCCTCAGTCATCAATGCTCTTCACCCCAGCAGAGGTTTTCTATGCTTGGGGAGTAGGGATGGAGAGAAGCCAGACCCATCAGCACCATCATGGCGCATGGCCTAGTTGGGGGCTCCAATTCTGATAGGGAAGCCCAAGAGCCATGGACCCTCATAGAAGGCATCTAACCCAGCCCAGGGTGGGCCAAGGGAAGCCTCCCTGGAGGAGGTGGTGCCGGAGCCAGGTTGTTTGTGGCATTTGGAGTCAATCAGACTCCCAAGGAGAGGGAAATAAGGGAGGACATCGGGTCAGTCGCCCAACCTCTCAAGTCTCAGTCTCTTGGTCTGTAAAATAGAGATAATAAATACCTGCTTTGCCTAATGTATAGGGTTGTTGTGAGACTCAAAATCGGATAAAGAATGTGGAAGCACTTTATGAATTGTAAAATGCCAGGCACCTATTCATTGTCATTTATTGTGATGTTTGGAGCCCCTGGGGGTTAGAGAAATACCTGGCCAGCGTCTGGGTGTGGGAGAACCTCTGATCTGTTTTGGAAGGCCTAGTATCAAATCCAGTAGGGACAGACAGCCACCTTCACCTCACAGCCCTGGATTTAAAAGTGTTAGGATGTTTCTGAGCCAGGGTGGGGCTGTGCTCAGAGGGGACCCTGAAGGCAGCTAGGACCAATCATGGCCCAGGGACGGAAGAACAAGGTGTCTTCAGAAACCAGTTGGGCCGAGAGCACTATATCTGGGTCCCATCCTGGGCGCTCTGGTCAGGCCTCAGGGACCTGACTGATGCAGTCTTAGGGACCTGGCAGGGGATGGAGGACCAGGGGCCTCACCACGAGGTCATTGAGAAGAAACCAGCTTTGTAGAGAGGGATCTGCAGGGTCTGGGACAGTGAGGAAGAGAGCAGTGCGTGTCAAAGGAGCCAGTTTGGGTTTGAATATGAGAAAAGAATATATCTGCACCTATGTAAATACAGAAAAACATTCTGACACCTCAGGCTGGTCATCACTAGATGGCACAATTTTGTTTTATTTTTTCTATGTTTTCGAACTTTGTATATGCAATAGATATTTCTATTAAAAATTTGCTCTCCGTAATAAATGTCACCATATACTAATAATGTGGATAGTGTAATAATCCAGCCAGGCCGGGGCTGGGGGGTGTTCGGAAAGCACCCACACTGGGGGGCTTTTGTGAGGCCTGGGTGACATTCTGGTGATGAAGGAGTCTCACTGGAGGAGAGGTTTCTGGGATGATCCCAGGACTCTCTTCTTGGGACAGACTGAAGTGTTAGGTCAGCATTGTGACCCAACCAAGCCAGGGGCCACAGTCACATTGTGACTGGAGTCTAGAGCCCTCCCAGAGCGGGGCTGGGACATCAGGACAGAGGTACAGGACCAACGGCCTGGGGAGCCAGAGGGCCAGTACCTTCAGATTTCCACCCCAGCATATCAGACCCCGGCAGGTCCTTTCCTGTCAATGATGTCTGCTCTTGGTCTTTGGGCCAAGGAGTCACAGACTGGCTTGCCTGTTGACTGCATTTCATTGAACACAGAACACCCTCTGTTATGAGTTATGCCATTATTTTATAATCTATTAAGGAAGAAAAAATAGTGGACAATTAAACTGTAAGTTACATCTTAGTTTCAAAAACAGTAAAATGTTAAAAACTGTGTGTCTTCGAATCAATTATATGACATGTGGCAGGTCCCACACAGGACTCTTACGTACATTCACTCATTTCATTTTTTTTTTTTTGGTCAAAAATTTATTTATGCATACAAGAGCTGGGGTAAAGGCCAGAGGTGTGGGGGGTGAGAGGATTCACCAGAGACAGAGTGGGGAACAGAACAGGCAGACTGACTGAAATACACTGCTGAGGGGAGCAGCGGGCGAGACAGGAGAGGTCTGCTGCGCCATGTGGGTTGTTCCCTGGCAAGGCAGGGAATCAAACTCGCGCTGCAGTGGCTGCGGACAGCTTCATAGGTTGTGTCTTAACCCTTGCACCACCATGGAGGCCCTCACTCATTTCATTCTTATAGAGACTTGGGGCTAGATATTCTTGTCCTCTTTTAATGTGAAAATGGGAGCCCAGAGAGGTCAAGTGACGCTTATAAGGTCACACAGCCAACCAGGGTACAGTTGGGGTTTGAGCTCTGCTCTAACTAGATCCCACTTTTTCCCTCATCTGACCACAAAGAAACGGCTGCTGAGCCCTGAGTCTTGAGAGAAGAGAATGTTCATGTTGCAGAGTAAACATATGGCAGTTCGGAAATGCCCCTGTGCTATTAGCAATGGGAGAAACCTGATTTGGCGGGAGGGGGGCTTGCTGGGGTGGTAATGGGCAGGAAGGAACTCTGAGAGCTGTTGACTGCTGGTTAGCCTCATCCTTGTTATGACCATTACCAGGGATAGATTAGCAGAGCTCACCCTGGAGAGAGACTTCAGAGAACTGCCCTTCAGATCAGCCGAGAGCCTCACCCAGAATAGCTTGTTCATTTCTGCATAAGTTGCTTTTCAATTTAATTTTTTGGTGGGCCTTTTGTTAATATATTTGTTGCTTTCTGCATGTGAAGCACAGCTCAGGTTACAAAGCAGAGCAAAACAAAACAAAACAAACAAACCAAAACAAAAAAAATAAATAAATAAACAAAGCAGAGCAAAACAAACACAAGCCCTACCCTTTTGGGCTCACAGACCAAAGACAAGGTAGTCAGTAATCTTGACCCACTAGAACAGGAGCAAGTTTCTGAAGGCAAAGTGGGGGTGTGAGAGTGTGCACAATAGAGAAATGTGCCCAGTCCCAAGTTGGGGTCACTACAAAAGGCTGTTTTAAAGGAAGGACTTTTGAGCTGAGATCTGAAAGATGGATAATGAGTAACCAAGTGAGGATGGAGTGGGGAACAGGCTGGATAAGAGAAACAGCCTGTGCAAAGGCCCTGAGGTTGGAGCAAGCAGACCCTTGAAGAAATAAAAGGGCTTTTGTGGAATTGAAAACACAGAGCGTGTGCTGCTCTGACCCTGGACAAGGTGAAGTTGCAGGGATGGGCCCTAGAACGATGACCATGGAATGATGAGCTCAGATTTGCAAAATGGTTGGCGGCTGAGACTAAGTGGCCAGCTGGGAACAGATGGCAGCAATGGGAGTGGAGCTAAGTGGACACATACAGAGATGTTTAGAAGGTGGGGCAGGAGGGCGGGATTCGTGATGGATTGGCTGTGGGTACAAAGAGGAGGCTATGTGCGCTTGCCCTTCCAGAGGCCCGACTTGCCAAGGGAGAGGAGGTGTGGTGGGACAGGGCTGCATTCCATTGGTACCTCCCGCCCCGGTCTGGTTTTTGTCCTTTTCCACCCCAGAAGTGTTTTGATGTTCTGGTTCATCCTCATCAGGGTTTTTGTCAGATGATGTGGGGGAAAAAGAAGGCAGGGTGAAAATTTTAGGGTACTGATAAGGGTGAGATGGACCTTAGAACTGGTAGAAGGAGAAGGGGGCAGGTCCGATGCTCCAGGTTACGGGGAACAAGAAGCAGACCTTTCAGAAAAGCTGGCATCAATCTCAGTGGTGGCATCGCTGTCTTGGAGAAGGGGTCTCTGATCCAGGCCTTTGTCCTTGGGGCTCAACATGGGTGGGTTGGTTGGTTTGTGTTTGATGAGATATAACTGACATATAACATGTCAGTTTCATTGTGCAACATAATGATTTGACATTTGTATATTTAATGGACCCTTAAACAACAAAGATTTGAACTTTGAGGGTTCACTTCTACGTGGATTTTTTTTCAATAAAAAATAATTTGTTGATTGTTGATAGATATTTTTTGGTTGATACCTTTCAGCTTTTAGTATGTTTTCTCTTCCTTATGACTCTCTTAATAACATTTTCTCTTCTCTAGCTTACTTTTCATAAAAATACAATATTTAACATTTACACATACAAAATATGTGTTGATAAACAATATACGTTATCAGTGAGACCACCTATTTAGAGCAGGGTATTAGTAAAGCTTTGAGGAAGTGAAAACTTATACTCAGATTTTCAATTGTATAGGGGGTTGGGGCCCCAAGTTATTTCAGGGTAAACTGTTTTTGCCAAAGGACCACCAAATAAGTCTAGTTACCATCCAACCCCACACACTGTTACACATTTTTTCTTGTGATGAGATCTTTGAAGATCTACTTGAAAACTTTTAAGATCTACTCTCTTAGCAACTTTCAAATATATTATTAAAATATATTTGAAATATATATGCAGAACTAATTTATAACTGGAAGTTAGTACTCTTTAGACCCCTTTCCCAACTGCCCCTCATCTGGTGACCACCGATTTCCTGACCTTGTGTTGAGTGACTGTCTCAGAGTCTCTGCATATTTGGTCCCGGTGGCCTTGAAAGTGAGATAGGTAAGGCACTCACTGGGGTGCAAGAAAAATATCCCCTAATGAGAAATTGATTCTATTTTCCTTTCAGTTGCCAGGTGTAGACACACTGATCCCCATTCCACTCAGCTTGTCAGATATTTCATGTCTCATGTGGTCAAGAAACCTTTGGGGAGAATGGGGATCGTGCTAAGAAAGGGGTGACAAACATACTCTTATTCTTGGGTCTGTTTTGGGCATATTGTCCCAACCAACTGACTGAATAATCCAGGTTAATCCAGATAGGATTTACAGATTATAGGAACCATTTCTAACTAAACTAGCCCTCACAAAGTAGACAAATGGTTTTTAAAGATTCCCACCAGAACACTTCGGGTTGGTAGTCGTTCAAATAGTGCTTAATACATCCAGACAAGAACATGGGAGAAGTAACACGTGGTCCTTTCATCAGCCACCAAAAAAAAAAAGAAAAAATACAAGGTAGTCAAATCTCACAAGGAGTCAACCAGGGTTTACTTGTTTTAATTTCAGCAACAATTTGAAATATAGATTTACAGTCATTTTGGTTAATGACAAATCTCGAATC